GAATCTTAAAAAAAATAAATATTAGTAATAATCATTTAAAATTATATTATTTTATTTAATACTTACATCTGCAAATGCCGCGTTTACATCTTGCCACCCTTCAACATGATAAACTATCGCAACTCCATCTTTGCTTGTTGGTGGATATTCAATGGGAGTTAATGAATGCAATACAGTTTTAATGGTTATTTGTTTCGTAATATATATTTCAGTGTCTTCCTCTATAAAGTAAACATGATAATAATAAAGTATCTCCATATTTAAGTCTTCTTCATAAATAATATCTTCTTCATTAATAACTATAGATGACATTTTTAATTATTGTTTAACGCGAACTTTGAGTTGTTGCAATAAAAGGTATTTGAACGCGTGAGAATTTTTTTCTCTTGCTTATATTATATTTTAATATGTCACGTTATGATCTGTGACATTGTATCACCAACTTTATCAAGTGGTATTACATTAATATTCTTAATATTTTGTGATACAGCACACAGTATTTGTTTCACAAATCATACATAATACACTTTTTATTTTTACGTTATACACTACACAGTTGGTTGACTCTACACCACAAGTTTCCGTATTACTCAGTTGAAAACGGAAACCATTTGTTTGTCGGTAAGTCTTTTTTAGCCATCAATTGGATTGCTGATTTAACTGTACAAGTATCGTATAGCGCTGACATTAGTACCCCTTTGCAAAATATCCCCCTTGAATATAACGGATACTATTCAATCACCAAAAATAAATTTTTTGATTAATACCGGGGTACTAATAAATTAACCAATTAAATTGATAAACATGTCGATCAATTTTATCGATTGTAATATATTAAACATAAAAATCAAAATTTATTATTATGTTTTATACTTTATCAATATTAAATGTCATTATGTATTAACTATACATGATTATTATTTAAATCCATTCATTATCATAATCTCACTCCTCATAATGATTATCATTAATATCATTACTTCTATCATCTTCATTAATATCATCTAAAATTTCTACTTTATCATTTTATTTTGCTTGTTCAAGATGTTTATAATTAAAAATCCAATCATCTTCTGTTCCATCACGTTTGTTAGAAATGCCATAGCATTTAAAAGATCTTTGGATTAAATTAATATCAACCGCGTTCCATGATCTATTAATCCAATCTACAACAGTTTCATAAGATGGTCTTTTGATTCTACCAGCA